AGATATAATGCTGTCATGTGCAGGGCACAGCTCTATGACGCTGTTAATGGCTTTAATTGCTATTGTGTCATTTGAAAGCTTTTAAAATAGAAAACAATACTGGTCTCCACCTGCTCCTCATAAAGCGTCACAAGGCACACCTTTCTTTGCTTCTGATATAAAAAGTGCTGTGTAAGTCACATTGGTAGATGGCAATCAACTTTAAAGTCCACATAAATTTACAATATACACTTCTTGCTTGCTTATATTGTAAGGATTTTGTGCAGATTTATGTCCTCCATTTACATGACTTTACAGGCAATACAGATCTAGACTTAACAGTTTGCTAATGCAGCAACATCTGTTGTTTTATGCCTGCTTACATTGTGGTTTGTCAGCAGAGGCCTGTAACACAGGATGTTCACGAGACAAAATATATTTTAAAATCATATTCTTATAAGAGCAGTTTAATAATAATAATAATAATAATAATAATAATATAGTGGTGGAAATGGTAAAATTACAGTTCAGATTGTACTGTTGCAGTTTTAGGTTATAATTTTAGTTGATAAGTTAACAAAAATAATACTGTAGCTTTTGTGCACGTTAAGAATATGATTCTTTAATACTGAAATTAGACATTTGAAATATATGCACTAATAGTGTTGCACTTTTGTTTACCATTTTTGTTAATATATTTAGATCTGCATAGAGCAGCATTTATATACGTTCTTCAGCTTGTTTATAACTCTATCCTTAGCTATAGACATAAGAATTTTCTTCTCAATGCACATTTAGATGAAAATTGCTCAAAGTGTTGTGTTATAAAAGTAGAAAACAGAAACGTGCGCACATCTGAGATTCTCAAAGGTCAATGCTTGATCAAAAACAAACACAGTGGAAAAAGAAAATCGGTTCACTGCCACTTTAGCTCTCAATTTTTTTATTGCAACAACGCTTCGACCTACATGGTCTTCAAACTTAAAAGACATTTATTTATATTGTTTACTGTTATCCTCTACATGTCTGCAGTCTTCAGCGGGAAATTTATGCTGCTCACAGGCTGCAAAAACAAGTGTTATTTTACAGCATATACTGAGTGAGGTCAAGTTTTTTGACAATCTTAGCAATACAAATAGGCTAGTGTTTTAATTAATTTAATATTTTGCTTGTGGATAGGTTGATAGGATAGGATTTTTTCACATTATAATGTCTGTCATTGTGAAGCAAATTAAACAGCTCCTCCAAGCCCTTTTCAGCCAAATCGGGACTTTTCTTACTGTCCATCCTTGCTGATGCTTGTACAAAACAATAAGCTAGAAAAACTATTTGGGAAAGACAGGTTATAGTCCCAAACTACTTTTAGGGAAGGGTTCAAATGGTGCAACCCATTTCATCAATTGACATGCTGAACAAGTAAAGAGAAGATAAACTAACAAGACATGTCATTTATTTGTGTCCTGACTGTGCCAAATCTGAAGTGAAGCAGACCACCAGGAGTTCTTCCAGATTTCCGGTCTCAAATCTGTGTGTAAGAAAAAAAGTTTAGCTTACCTGTGGAGAAAAAAAAACGTTCCCAATTGACCTTTCACAAACCCCGCCCCACTTATCTGGCCCAGAAAATAAACTTTTTAAAATTCAGCCTGAAATAGGAAAAAAAAATTATGTTTTTATTCAAGACACGATGAGATTGTTTATAGAAGATGCCGCATTGGACACACGAGACTCACGCATGAACATTTACTTAAAGGAGAAGAACCACCAAAATGTCTATATTGCAACAGAAACCGAACAGTTAAACATATTCTTGTGGAATGCCCCATTTTTAATGTTCTCAGACAACAATCTTTATCTGGAGAGACATTAAAGGAAATATTTTTAAATGTGAATCCATCTAAAATTGTAGAATTTTTATCAAAAGGAAATCTTAAAAAACTGTTTTAGATTTTTATCTTATATATTATCATTATTATTATTATTTATGTATTTTACCTTGTACATTATTTATTGCTGTTGATTACTTTTAATTGTTAGAATATTTTTATAATTATAGAAAATTGGTGTTTATTAAAAGTGGTAAACTTGATCTATTTTCCTTTTGCCATGACATAGGCATATAAGCTGAAATGGCAATAAAATTAAAACTCTCTCTCTCCCCACTTATCTGTGTCCAAAAAGTCAGGATCAGCTATAGTGCTTCCCTGTCAATTTGTTCTCTCCCTGGAGAAATAGTGAATGATTTCTGCATAAACTACATACTGAATTCAGACAAAAGCAGACATAAAAGCCTGCAATATGCATATGAGGGAAAGTTTCGGATGTGAGCGTAAATGAAAATGAAATGGAGACTGAAGCTACAGTATTAAGATGGGAAGTTTGGATCATTTTATTATACTTAAAATGTTACAAATTGATTCCCTAACACATAATTCACAAACACAAGCAAATGGAGGCATCTAGAACAAGACGATAATGCATCTATGAAATTATAAGAGACAGAAAAGATTAATTAATTGTTTATCTGGGTTTCCAGGCTAAGCAGTTTAGGTTAGCTCATCTACTTTTTTTTTTTTTTTTAGAATAGACTAACGTACATACTGTTTATTTTATTTATAAGACTTGCCAAAGGTCAACAACCATGCCATGACAGACAAGCAGGCACATGAATGTTCACTCTCAGAAATAAAGGTACGGGAGCTGTCATTGGGGCAGTATTTTTTAAAAGATACATATTTGTACTCAAATAGTCCACAGTGGTACCTAAAAGGTGCATATTAGTACCCAAATGTACCTAAAAGTACCTTTGAGGTACCATTATGGACCAATCAGGTACAAATATGTATCTTTTGAAAAGGTACTGCCCCAGTGACAGCTCCTGTACCTTTATTTCTTAGAGTGTGGATGTAAATATGTGCATTTGAGCATATTCACTGACGGTAAAGGTGATTCCTGGATGAGTTTATTCATAAAAAAAGGCTTTGACAAGTTTAAAATGCAAAAAGTTCAAATTAGTGCGTATAAAGCACAATAAGCTCTTGATTATCATTACATTGTCATTGGCTCAGAGATCTCCAACATTGAGATGACTTAAGTCCCTCAGAATTAGTCCTCTAGATGTGTAAACAGTAAATTAGCAGAAGTGAATATCATTTTACTAGTTGAAAGTAGGTTAATTATTAGGGATGCTTCGACTGATCAGCCAGAGATCGGTATCGGACCATAACCACATTTCATGACTCAATCGGCACTCACTAATCTGGCCGATCAACCAATCACAAGTGTCTGTTTACATGTTTACAAGCAGAGGATATATAAGAACTGAAATCTTTTCACATATGAGAACTGAAAGTTCTGTGTTTTTAACAATATTGCAAGCTCAATAAAACCTGATTGGAAATATTTGGGAAATAAACATTATTTTTAACTTGAATTTTTAATAATATAACTTATCACACACTTATTGTAATACACTTATTGTAATAAATGTTTAGATGTAGTTTATAGGCCTATTTCCTTTTATTAAAGAAGTAATGGATTTATATGTGTGCATTTTAACTTCTTATGCTTCAAATACGGGCTCCAAACTTCCAAATTGCTTTAAAATCTGTTTTATCTATTATTTTCTGTAAACACATGTTCAAAGGATTATATGCAACATCTTTTATTTATTCTCTTAGATAAGGCAAGATCTCCACTCGAGTATCATACTTCAAGTGAAAATGTGCTTCATGCATTATAAAGCTTAAAGGATCAGAATTTGTACTTGGTATCGGCCGATCACCATGACAAGGAATCGGTATTTGGTATCGCCTGCAAAAATGCTGCTTGGAGTATCCCTAGTACTTATAAGTCTTTGACCATTTTTTACACTTGTATTCCCACTTTATTCATAATGTTTTGAGTTTGACCAAGTACGACTTTATGGTGTATATTTTTTACTGCATTTCAGATGGACTTTTTTTTATTTTTGATTATTATTTGTATAAAAATTATCAAAGAATGTATACAAGAAATGTTTTATTTTGTGCTTCTAAAAAAATGTTAGAATTAAAGAAAAATATAGTAAGTAAAAGCTGATAAGTAGTTATATTAAGAGGAGGGTGTAAAGACCGCATGAGATCATTAAATGCTGAAATAACATTTCCTTATGGTTTTACATGGTATTTCCTCATGTTCTTACTCATCATTTCCTTAACGGCCTATATAAGTATCGACATATGTCAATTGTTTTTTCATTGCCAATGCGTGAACCACTTCTAATGAAACTTAAAAGATGAGACCTTCCTTGATCTTGAAATTAAGTTTATCTGTGAAAATCCTGTTGCTGGATATTTAATGGGACTCAGGATGAAGTAGCTACTGAAAAAAGTGTTGCATGCAGAACTGTTGCAAACTATATATTTGTGTAGAATTTCAACAAACAAATTAAATTTAATAATGTTCAACTTAATTAATTTGTCTAAATTCAGCCCAAATCATTTTTTTACAACAATTTAACGTAAAAGGCATGGTTATATATATATATATATATATATATATATCCATGATTGTGATTTTATAAAGTATTACATAGTTTATTATTGCCATCTGTTGAGTCTCTCCATACAGTTTAATAGACAGCTTGGACCCGGAAGCTGCTTAATGTCACACTCAACAAATGGATTGAACTATTTAATGCTATGGTTATAGCATTGAATGTACATAGGCAACATATTTTATTCATCCATCACTCCCAGTAGCCTGGGTGGCATCTGAATGTTTGTTTACTGCCCATTTATTTAATATTACTTCTAACCAACTAAAGATTGAATCTCATTCAGTCTCTAGTTTGTTTGTGATTGAAAGTAAAAACTCATGGCTGCTGTTTAATTAATGGCCACCGGTGTTGCTAAAAACAAGGTTTCTCAATTCTGCTTTAAATAAATAAATTCTCATCTCTGTTAAAAATTTTTGTTTTAAAAAAAAAAAACTCTGTCACCTCTGTTTAATAAAAATAATAATTATTTTTTTGTATGTTTCAGACGTGCGATCATGATGACGAGGATGTTGAGATCGCGGTGGACAATGCTGCTTTTATGGATGAGTTTTTTTCCCAGGTCTGTACTGTATATTTTACAGCTGTGTTTGCGTCTCATGAGCTTTAAATGTGTGTAACTGGTGTTGTGCATTTTAAGTGACCTTGTTTTATTTTTTCAGATTGAAGACATTAGAAACAGCATTGATAAGATCGATGAGAATGTGGCCGAAGTGAAAAAACTTTACTCCGTTATTCTTTCTGCACCAACGTCAGACCAGAGTAAGACACACGAACACACACTCAATGTGGGCATTTTGACCATTTTTACACTTTACGACCTATACGTTACCAATAATTGATGCACAGGAATTTACAGACGCTTGTTTTCACCACAGGAAACAGAAATGGTATTTCTTAGTTTTATCTTAGATTAATTCAGATTACGTAGACTGTGTTTTTCTTAGAATTTTGAATTAACACCCCACATTCATGGCTAGTTTAGTTTTATCTAGCTGTTTTGAAAAAAGTCAGAAACGCAAGATGTTAATCAGAATTGCAAATGCATTATCTTTTATTTTTTGACCTGTGGTGGAAAAAGACTTGCATAAGTTGAATAATCAGTAAGACCTATTAATGAATTATATTTTTACAACTATTTCAAGTTGCACAAGTTAACAATATTATGAATTAAATGAGCGATATCGCACTCGTAGCAGTTCGATATGGCTGTATATCAGCACTGTGACAATGTACAGACAATATAAACATGTGATTTTATGTTTATATAACAGTTCAACAACATAATCGTGTAAATAAAAAAGAAAATCAAACACGGAAAGTCTAAAAATCCAAAATTTTGTATGAGGAACTGCTTTCTTCTGCAATTTATTCATCTGCAGCTGACATCAGAAAAGCAGAAACCATTGCTATTTCACCAACATCACTTTAGAGCTAGTATTTGAATGATTCTCTAGCCTAATGTCTAAAGTGAAGACAAAACAAGGGATTTTGTTAACATTTTAAGATTATAAGGCTGAACGGCATAAAAAGCCATCAATCTAGAGACATTTCCCAGTATTTCTCTGTTGCAATCGGGAGATCACAATAATTATCCTCAAAAAAAGCCAAAACAGCGCAAACACTACAAGATTACTGTTGTGCTTGCGATAAGCAAAAGCGTTAAACACATGTTTTATTGATTTAGTCTGCAGTAGCGAAAACAGGAGACTCATTAGAAACAAACAAATGGCCAACCAAAAAGTAACTCAGGATTATACAAAGAGAGGCCGACACAAAATACATACATTCCTGATATGTGAGCCCCATCTCACATTCAATACACTACGATAGCTATAGTAGAAATACAGAACTGCAACATACAAAAGAGAGAGATCGACTTAGAATGTTACTCAGCAATTTGATAATGTTTTGGTCAGCTGTAGTTTGAAAATACACCAATCTTTTCTCCTCTAAGGGCTTATTATGCTGTCTCTGTCACCCTCTTGTGGATGGACAACCTCAACCGTCTATGCTCTGCTCAAAGACAAGCTAATGGCCGCCAATGTGCTGTCTCTCAGAAATTATAAATATATAAAATAGGCACTATCCTTATAAATAATCTGCATAGATGCAATCTAAACAACCACATTCCCTCCTAAAGATCCTCATTTTTCAGCCGGTACATTATGTTGTCCAACAGCTGCAATATTTGTCAAACTGTAGTGAGTTTATTGATCTGCTGTTACTCTATGTGGGCAAACTAATACAGAAGGGTGAGGAGGCTGTACAAGTTCTGATATTGCAGAATATTGCATGGCTATCAGCCAATCAGATTCGAGAACCACACAGAACATTTGAATAAAATGAAATAATGAACAATACTAAATTAATAAATTCATATTAAGGATACATGCATTATGAATACATTTGAACTTTTTAAAGAATCTTTTTAAAAGACATGTCATGGTTGACAAAAAGCAGCACACTTGTTTTAAGTATTGATTATAAAAATGTCTCTAGGGAACCAAATCAGCATTTCAGAATGATTTTCATAAATCATGTCTATCATAAATTCAAATTTTCCGTCCAAGAAATACATGGCATTTTAATATGTACACAATTATTTAAAAACATGTCAAAATATTACTGCATTTTTAAAAAAATAAAAAACACAAAACACAAATGCAGCCTTGCTTACCATAAGAGACAATATTTTTTTGCTTATGACAAATGTTTTTGATAGTATTGTACCGGAAACATAACTCCATTAATGGTGCAACCTCTGAGCAATAGGATATTCCTCTGGAAGTGTTTAACAATGACAAAACCCACACAAAACCATGATCAGTCTTCATTTTTCACCTTCCGTCATTATAATACCTACATTCTAACTTCTGCTTTTTTCTCTCTGAACAGAAACACAGGATGATTTGGAGGCATTAACTAATGATATCAAGAAAATGGCCAACAATGCTCGGAACAAACTGAAGAGTAAGTGCCCTTACACGTACTCTGGCCTACTTTGTGGTTTTCTCATTAGGTCAGAGAACTAGGGCACGCAGTCCTAGGCTTGGCTTTTTAAACACCTCTGACCCAGAAATATCTGAGTCATTTATCCACCTTTACAAAAGCAGTGTGTACCCTGCGTCAGCGTTATTGTAGTACAGAGAAACTGTTATTGCTTTGTTGGATATGTCATATTGATTGTTATTTTTGTAATTTTTATTATATTTTTAAAGTGTTATATTTTTATTCATATAGAATAGTCATTTATATTATAATATATTACATTCAGGGCTTTACATTAACACCCGCCAACCCGCCAAATGCGGGTAGATTTCAGCTCTGAAGGGTTAGACGGACACCTCCACTAGCCACTTTGGCTGGTTGGAAATCATTTTTAAATTGTAGTTTTCTTAAAAGCAGGGTTTGACAATAAGCATGGCACAATATTCATGCAAATGTGATATTAGAATCGAGAAGCAGCACGACTGACAAAAATAACTGTTCATGCAAGCAAAAGAATGGTGAATACAGAATGAGAGCACGATCACTCGCGCTAATAGCTGATGTGATGTGTGCGAATGTTAAAAAGCGTGCTCGCGCTCCCGTTTACTTACGCAAAGCAACCATGCCTAGAAAGCGCAACAGGTGCGATTGGTTCCCTTTGAAATAGACTGGACAAAGAGCGATGATCGTGCACCCACAGTCCTGCTGCTGTCAAGAGCTCAAGATTTATAAAAAAATACACATATTCTTTTGTAAACAGCAGCGTTCACTGCTTTCATTTTAATTATTCTCAGAAGAAATTATTAACAGGCCTAACATTAACCGTGTGCACGGTATGTTTCACCTGCTTTCTTTTGCTCACAGTTATTTTTGTTAATATGGTTTAAATATCATTTTTTACAATAACATTGCTGTAATGGGAGATCACTCCCCGTTTATGTGTAGTTAACTGCTGATCTGGGACTTTTAGCCAGGACAGATTACTGTGCATATTTTAGATACATGACAATAATTATTTTTTAAATGTAATGTTTTTTTAAATAAAAGGTTTGTTGATATAAAAAGTGCACCTATAAAGCTATATTTCCCTTGTTTTTACACATTAAAATATAGTGGCTAAGAAATACTTATTTGGTGTGGTCAGAAATAAATTTGATAAATCCTTAATTTTGAGCCCTGAAAAGTCGTGAAATAAAAACTGATTTATTGCAACACAACCCATTTGATCATGCACACTGAGCAAGCTAATACACAATACACACAAGAAGTTAAATGAATGAGAAGGCATGTGTACTTGACACAATATCTAAACCAAGTAATTTGGCATGTCAAAGTCAAATTTAAGCAAAATATATTTTACCAACAAGTGTGGCTAGTGAAAATGGCGAGTGGCTAGTAATCTTGGAAATCTAGCCACAGTGGCTGGTGATCAAAAAAAGTTAATGTCAAGCCCTGATTACATTATATTTTATTATATAGTCATTTTATTAAGATTTCTATGTTGATGTAGTTTTTATTATTTCTTTTTAGAATTTGAGTGCAAGGCATGTGTCCGAAACCACCTAGGTACTACATTTAAATTTAAATGTACTGCTCGATCATTAGAAAAGTACATTCTACAGTATGAATAAGCAGTATAAATGGAAGTCAGACGTACTGCATCCGCCATTTTGTCATGATCACGTGAACTACCCACATCTGTTGCGTCACTTCATTCCCATGAATGAATTCTCTCGCAGTGCAGCAGTGCATCATGGGATAGAATAACCTCAATTGAATGCACACTCGCAGGAAATAGTAGGTCATCTGGGTACTTCTCACGTACTGTTTTTCGAATTTTATAAATTTGGACAAACTACTTGACTCACATACAGTTTTTAGCGTACTACATACTGTAGTATGGAAGTATTTGATTTTGGATGCAGCTTTAGTTTTAGTTTTTTAGCACATCAAGTTTCAGATCTTTGACTTTGACGGTGGCATGGAGGAAGCTGTCCCATAACGTTTTGTAAAGTTTTTAAAGCTTGAAGTTTTAAGGTGCACTATTTGATTTATTTCATTTTGTTGGGATGAGCAACATATTGCTAGTATTTTTAATAGCATGTTGCTAGTAGGTTTTATGATAATTGTTAACTTAACCACATTACCACATAACATGTTTCTAACTTGCCGATTGCATGTTTCAGAACATTACTATGACATTTTAGAGCGCTAAAATGTTTCCAACAGAAGATTGTTAGCATGTTGTACCACAATGTTGTCTTGTTTAGCACATCAGTAGCATGCTTAACATGTTGCTGAAATCTTTTAACATTGTCCAAAGGCCCACGTTACTTTTTATGTTTTGCTGATGTTTGATATTGTCAGACTGAAGGCCAAGCTTTTTTCTGTGTATGAATTCTTCAGGCAGCTTCAATTTGATGTTGTTATTTTGTCACATTAAGTGTGCCACTAATGACTGAATTAGATTTTAGCTCTCCATAGCATCCAGTCTAAGATGCATTTGTAAAAGTGATAACACTATCTGCCCAATGTGGATTGAATCATATATAATATAAATGTATTTTTTTCTGTCCAGACTTGCCTATGCAGGAATGTCAGCTGCAAAAATCAGTGTGCTTATTTTTTCAGCATAAATTTTTTACTATGTGTCTTTAGGAAATATTGAAAGTACTTTTTATGACCCCATGTGGCGAAAAACATGCCATTGATGTAGTATACATGCCTGTCTGGTGTTTTTGCCAAGTGCAAATTCATCCAGCAGCACCATTTTAATCTATTTTCTTGTTGAAACTGACAAAGACAAGATCTGTGTACTTGTGTGCAACTCTAATATGCTTTTAAGTATAAATAATGCAAGTAGTGTGTTCATGTAGAAAACTCTAATAAGAAAAAGTTAACTTACTCAAGTGATGCAGCTTTTATTGAATAGTGAAAGGGGCGAGATTTTAGACAATAAATGACAAATTAACAGTATAAACTTACGGTTCAAATACTTGACGGATTATTACATAAATTATAAGTACATAATGTATAGTGCATAAACAGGGGCAGCCGTAGACTAAATGGTAAGATGGTTGGAGGTTCACAGGTTCAAGTCCAGGCACTAGCAGAATTTGAATATGGGCAGAGTGAATAACAAGCACTCTCTTCCACACTTAATACCCTGGCTGAGGTGAGTCTTTTGAGCAAGGCATCAGCGTTGTCAGGTTTTAGCAACAAACCTAGCAAATGACCCACAAACAAGCCTAATAATATAAAAAATAGCCAGAAACTAGCCCAATAATATCAAAACTCAAAATATGCCATACCCCATTCAAAAAATACATATTTTACATCAACACTGACGTGCTTAATATATATAAATTGCTACTTGCCATTGTGTAGAGTTTACTTTTGCTAACTCAGCAAAAGGGGAACCGGTACAGCTGCTGTGATTGGGTAGAGATGAGGGCTAATCTGCATATACATGTCGTAGCCTAATGGTTCGATAGTTGGAGGTTCACAGGTTCAAGTCCAGGTACTAGCAGTGTTTGAATGTGGGCGAAGTGAATAACAAGCACTATCTTCCATACTCAATACCCTGGCTGAGGTGAGTCCCTCAAACTAAGCACCAGCATTGCAACAAAGGTTTTGGCAACAAAATCTAGCTGAATGGCCCAAAAACAAGCCAAATAATATCAAAAATAGCCCAAAAGTAGCCCAATAATACAATACGCCTTAGTCTATTCACAAAATACATGTTTTACATCTACATTTACATGCTAAATAAATGTAAATTGCTACTTGCCATTGTGTAGAGTTTACTTCTGCTAACTCAGTGAAAGTGGAACAGGTAGAGCTGGTGTGAATAGGTAGCGGTGAGAGCTAATTTGCATATACATGGTTCCACATATACTTAATGAGGTAAGGTATAGAGTTATATTCCAACCATTTAAAACAAAGAAATTCCCAGAATAAAAGCATAGAAAAATGTAATTTGATTATTTTTTTTGTATTTGTTTCTGGTTAGTTGGTCAACATGTATTTCATTCAATGCAATGATAATTTTTTAATGCTTTTAATATGAACTATAATTGTCCTGCCCTGTGTGTATATGTCTGTACAGCCATTGAAAGGAATCTTGAGACGGAAGAAGTGGAAAGAGTATCGGCCGACATGAGAATACGTAAATCACAGGTGAGTCAACATCCTACTTAAATATCACACACAAAAGCACATTCTCCAGTAACTCTGCCCTCATGTTGCTCCACCAGCACGCTGTTCTTTCCAGAAAGTTTGTTGATGTCATGACCAAATACAATGAAGCTCAGGTGGACTTCAGAGAGAAGAGCAAAGGTCGCATTCAGAGACAACTAGAGATCAGTAAGTGTTTCCCGCTCACTCGTGCCTGACTAAATACCAGCACACAAGACTATGCTTCAGTACAACACGTGGTTAAACCCTGTCAAACTGACACTATGTGATTCCCCTTTTTTGTCTTTGACTTGCTTTTGTTCTGCTTCTCGCTCTAGCCGGTAAAGCCACAACTGATGAGGAGCTTGAGGAGATGCTGGAGGGTGGAAACGCAGCCGTTTTTACAGCAGGGGTAATGAATACGACAAGACCGACCATTCCTTACTTCTCTGGTCTTCATAACACACTCTCGTTGACACTGCTTGGGATATATAATATAATAAGGGGGTGTTTGTGACACCCTTTTTAGCTGAAACCATATGCATTTGATCCTTTTTGGCTTTTAAATGGTACATTTCACCATAAAATGTAATTTTATTTACTCATCATCCACTTGTTCTAAACCTGTTTGAGTTTGTTGAACACAAAACAAGATAATGCTGGAAAAAGAAGCCATTGTCATCCATAGTCGGAACAAAAAATATGGAAGTCAGTGACTGTAGAGTGTAATGAACACATTTAGCATGTTATTTAAAGGGACAGTTCACCCAAAAATCTAAATGTCCTCACTCAAGTGGTTCTAAACTTGAATTCCGACAGAACAAAGATATTCATAAAAGTTTAGAACCACTTGAGTGTGAGGAAGTTTAGATTTTTGGATGAACTGTCTCTTTTAATTACACGTTCATTACTTTCTCATATAACTTTTTCAGTTCATCAGAATATTTATATAGGCTAATCTTACGAGCTACTACAAACCATAGACTTTAAAAAATAAGAAAAAAAAAAATAGGACTGAGTTTTTTTAACACTTTTAACAGAGTTTAGTCAAATTTTGCACCCCAAACATCCATGACAGATTTGAATGGGCCAAATGCACAGTTTGTGTTTTTCAGCCAATGATGAACCTCCGGTAAAAGATTTATGTAACTATATTCAATTTTTATACGGTTCCTTTTAGAGCATCAATGTTGTATTTGAATTCAAATACAATCAGTTAAAAAGACTTAAGCATTTATTTGGTTGTTAAATCGTAAAAAGAGATGAAAGACTGTTAAAACGCAGGCACCGTTATTAGCCGCAGGCCAGCACAGAAACTCAATTGAAAATACTGGGGTCAAATTAATTTCTATATTTTAAAGGCATGACGCGGAAAAATATCATTTAATGAAGTGCTTCTTGTTTGGTCTGATACTTACTTTATATCGTATCTCAGCCAGGCTGTGAATATTGCTGTTTTTAAAGAAATCAGATCTTAAACGAGGCCATTTGGTATGGGATGACAATTAACCGGAAGCCCTCGGGCTGGCTGACTGAAATTAAAAGTCTGTGTGCATATACCTAATTGAACAATGTTGGCAAGTAACTATGGAACCACCCTACATGAATTAAATAAATAATTTTAAAGCACAGTCATTCAAAACCCAAAGGTCATCCATGTTTATAGTAAAGCAATCACCAACAGAATAGTTTGAATAGTCAGGTGGAGATTAATGTAAACACAAGTATTCGAAAACAGTCATCCAGTGAATGTAAATAGTTGAGAGAAAATTTTATAATGATATTTGCTGAAATGTGCAACACTTAACATAAAAGGAGCTTTTTATCCACCCAAATCACAAGCTACAGTAAAAAGTCAAATGAATTGGTTAAAAATTAACGATGGCTCAAAATAAGACTTCATTCATAATGTCCACCACTAAATAGTTTTTATCAAGAAACGTTGACTCTGGTTGACCTGTGAATCATCACAACATGCAATATACTGCCATAAATGAAACATTTGGGTGATTCATTGTTTACTGTGATTGTGGTTACTTTGTAAATACACTCTTATCTCATTGTCTAAATTCAGCTTCAGCAGTATAGACGAGAACTAACTAACTGACCCACAAACTTTTTAATGCACACACCATATTCATTTTCATATGAAGTAACAATCCAATGCTAATAATTGCTTTTCATTTAGATATTGTAACAACTAAGTCGCTCTATGGCAAACACTAGTCAACTGTGGTTGGAAATTACGAATTACATGGGGGTTTGGAAAGAAATTGACTCCCAATTTAACACTTGATCCCTCCTGAAGGAGGTCAAAACAAATTGTATGGGGTGTCAGCCTTTTAATAGTGCCAAATAGTTTTCTCTGATCTGTAACTTAAATAATAATTAAAATAATAGTTTATATAAATATACATTTGACCACCCTTGTAACGGTTCATGTCATTGTGAATGCATAGTTGCACCCATTAGTAATGTAATTTAAATAAATAGATAAGTTTGATTCACTAAAGAACTGTATATATTAAACAAACTAACATTACTGTTAAAGTTGGCCCCAATCTCCCATCACCCCTTCTTAATTAGAAAATTATATTATTCTTTCACAAAAAATTATTATTTTATATTATTATATAAAATTATATTATATAAAATTATATTATATTATATCATATTATATTATATTATATTATATTATATTATATTATATTATATTATATTATATTATATTATATTATATTATATTATATTATATTATATTATATAATAGAACTTGTACTAAAGTTGGGGCAGAATCTTTTAAAAGTTTTCATTTGTATGTAAAATGTCTTTTTAAAGTTCAAATTATTTTACAATATTGTTATTTTTCCCAATTTACTAAACACTGTGCTCTTGTTAGGAAATACAGTAACATTTTTTAATATGGGACACAAAGTTAATGATAGTTAATTTATTTACCTGCATGAATAATGCTTGTACAGCTTTTCTTAATTGTAGTTCATCATTTATTTAATAATGAATTTGTTAATGCAATTTCGGGCAACATGAATTAATTTTCATTGACTGACCTTAACAAGAATGAATAAATGCTATAATAAATGTATTGTCCATTGTTTGATCATGTTAATAAATAAATGCATTAACTTTGTGTCTAAAGTGTTACTGAAAATATCAGAAGTTGATGCATGCTTTCAGTGTCATCTTTGCTTGAAATGAATTTGTATCAATGTAAATGTTGGCAGTCTTCTTAAACAAGAACAAGCTCTGAGGGAGTAGGGTAGTATCATGGTCTAAACATAGACTTGAGAAGCACTCTTTACTTGATTTAAACATACCTCCACCTTTTTTTGTTCTTTTTTTTGTGAGGGAGAATAGGGTGTAAAATGTTTGCTGTGTCTACATGATCATTATCCTTTAACTGTGTAATCTTTTGTGACATGAAAACTGAAAAAAGTAATAAATTTTTTGTACAAAAAAAGTCTTTGTATGAAATAACCCTAATGCCAAGAAAGTTTGAGCTTACGGGCATGTTGCAATGACAACATGAGTTTCGAGCTCTCCTGGATCCTGTCAAACCATCAACAGTTAAACCCAGCTAACTAATCCACATACGCTGTAGAAAATGCTGGGTTTTAACACAATCAATTTGTAATGTGTTAACATGAAGGAATTAAGTTAACTCATTTTGACAAATTTAAGTGGATTGAACATAAAAGAATTGAGTTGTCTCAAAAAAACCCTTACGAATTGTATTGTTTAAGCACATAATAAATATAGTAAAGAAGTAAAGCAGTTGTAAAAGTAGTTTGAACAAACAGCAAACATAATTTTTTGAGTGTATGAAGAATGCCCCCCGATCGGTCTGCTGTTTGTGTTATAGATTGTGGATTCAGGGATCTCCAAACAAGCACTGAGCGAGATCGAAGCACGTCACAAAGACATTGTGCGTCTGGAGAGCAGCATAAAGGAGCTGCACGACATGTTTGTGGACATTGCCATGCTAGTGGAGAGCCAGGTAAATTCCATCTTTCATCACAAGCACCATTTGTTTTCCATCCCTTCATACTGCCTGTGTTTTTCAACTTCCCTTTCATCGTCACGCATTTCTGTCTCTTCCTTTTCCTCTCTGTCTCTAGCATCTTTTCCTCCATTCTTCCTTGTTCAAACTCGCTCTGATGCTTGCTAAGTTATATGCAACTGGTTGGAGTGACTTTCCATCAGCCCCTTCTTTCACACGTGAGTGCTCTCTGTGTTTACAATGACTTTTCCTTCCCTTCACTTTTCCTCTCGTTCATTTACCTAATTCGATGACAAACAAGATTCACCCATTACATCATAATGCATCATTTGTTTAAAATAACTAAAGACTATGGCTCTTCCGAAACCCTGTTAGCTGCCTGTCTGGTTGACATTTGAAGGATCATTGGTAGGGTAAAAGCTCCATTAAAAGTTACAATTATATTGCTTTAAAAGAGTCAATGAATGGTCATAACTAATGCAACATTGCAGTTGCTTTTAGTATTTATTCTATATTTAATGGGATAGTTTACCAAAAAATGACAACTCTGTTAACATTTACTAACCATTGACTTGTTCCAAACCAATTGAGGTTTTTTTCTGTTGAACAAAAATGAAGATATTTTGAAGAATGTTGGAAACCTGTAACCATTGACATCCATAGTAGAAAAAATAAATATGGAAAAATCTTTTGTGTTCAATAGAGCAAAAATAAAAATGGTTTGACACAAGTCATGGCAGAGTAAATGATGGTAGAATTTTCATTAATGGGTGAATTAACCCTTCAAGTTTATTTTGATATTTAAATATATGCTATTTTTTATAAGTCTCTTAATGTATTTATTTAATTACAAAATATTATAAAACTTTTATTTAAAATCTTTTTTTTTTATCCATTTGATGCCTAGCAGAATTATTAGCACTATTACTCCAGTCTTTATGAAATAAAAGCACTGTCATAAATATTTTGTTCATAAATAAATATTTTGTGTGTAAATAAGTCTTCGGGGTCACACGATTCTTAAGAAGTCACTATATAAATTAGACAAACAGTTGCTGTTTAACATTTTGTGGAAACATATTTCGTGATTCTGTGACACTTTACAATAACAGTATATGAATGATGATGTATTAATATGTAAACTAAACATGGCTTTATTATGAATTAATGATGAGTTAAGGTGCAAAATGAGTTAAAACTTCATGTATGAGTTCATGTATGAGTAATGGCTACCTTAATTACTTGTTGGTACATGTTGTTAATTAATGTATTAAATAACATTTAAGTTTAAGCTACAGTAAATGTAACCATCATAAACTCCTGAGCTGTTAATGTATAATTATGTCATGACTTTACTCGGAGGGGCACATCACCAATAACTTATCCTTATCTACTCATGAACTCCTGTATTTAAGTTGTTGATGTTGACAGAACACTCTTCTATTGTTATTCAGTGTAAATGCACTAGACGGACATGCATAAGGAGTTCATGAGTCGTTATCAATGGGTTAATAACGATGTGTCTCTCCAAGTAAAGTCATGACGTAATTATATATGAACAGCTCATGAGTTCATGATGGTTAAATTATGCATAAAGTTATGTTGTAATTAATGCATTAATTAACAAACAATCATGTACTAACAAGTAATTAAGGTAGCCATTATTCACGGCTTATGTAGTTAAAGTTAGTTCATGGTTAGCGCGTGCCTTAAAATATCATTAATTCATACTAATGTTTAGTTTACATATTAATAGATTATTATTTTTTATACTTTTATTGTAAAGTGTTACCTGTGATTCTTTACTTGATTTTAAAAAGAACTTATTTATAATATTTGTTATAATAAAAATATATTTACGGTCACTTTTAATCAACGTAATGCATCCTTGCTGAATATGTGTGAAAATATCATTCAAAAGACTAAAAAATAAAGAATTCAAGCATAAGTGACCATTAACTACTAGGTTGCTGCTCATGAGGCATGTTTCAAATCAAAAATTAATATCTTATTAAAATAAATTACTTATTATTTCCGTTTCAGCTGGGTTTCTTTCTATGTAGTCTGTAACCACTGAAGCAGTTCACTAGGTTTTGGAGAAGAGCTAAAATAATATAATAAATCCACATGATCTTTAGAGGTCTGATACCTTGTTGACCAAACTATTTTGCTTATTAACTGCTTGCTATGGAGACAAACTGAAAGGTAAGACTGTGGTATTTCTCTTATAAGTTGATTTTGTTTATGACCCTGTTCTGTAATGTCACACTTGTTTCATTCAGTAAATTGAGAAGGAGATGTTTCTAAAAAAAATAGGCTTATTAATAGGCTTGACTGCTGATTTCTGCTAAAAATGCATTTAAATTGTCCCTTGACAGTCATTTTACTGACTATAAGTACAGTAACTTTGCAAATACATGTCAACTTATTTTACTAACCCTAACCTCACAGTCAACTAATACTCTCATGTTTAAAGAAGGTAGAGACAACGATTTTTTATCTGTAAATAGATAGACACAATAGACTCTCTTTCGTTAAAAAAGTAAATAACCAGATTTCCCACGATGCAATATTTACATAATACTTATGTCACAATAAAATAGTATTGCAGTTTTAAGGATATTGAATTATTCTGGGATATATTGCTATTTTTTACCTTTTTTCTTCACATTCTGCCATTTTGGCTCCCTGGAAGAAGACATGTTGTATCTGCTATCTTGGGACTAATGTGGTAAAATAAAGCATAAACATTTCCTATGTAATATGAACCTCTTAGTGATGACACCAATCTTTATTTCATTAACTTGCGTGCTGAAGGTTACCCTGCTCACTAGAAAGCACTTAACAACATCTAGACTGTAAAGAAAGAGATTTTTTTTCAATTAAACCAAATAGTTAAATACCATATTGGCAATATATCACTATGGCCATAGTGTTGCTGTGGAAACTTTAGTCAAACTGTGCTGTATCAATATTTCCCCCACCCCTATTCCAAAATCACTAATAGTCAACAGAGACACTAAGGCAGTGTTTATCTATCATCTTAGCATTGTTTTTATTGATCGATTACAAGTGAAAGATGCTAAATTCAGGTATAAACTTGGTCTAAAACATTTTGAGCTTGTCCATTTTCAACCACTTCCAGAGGTTGTGGAAAAATGCTTTTGATGTTTTACACGTTTTTAGACATGGCGTATGAATGGCTTCATAAACAACTATAGAGGACATACAGCAGATCATGTTCTTGCTTCTTGGCATGTAACTGTTTTTTTGCAAATAGTCAACAAGCTTTGTTTGAATATAGTTCATTGCTGTGTACCGTCATTGTGTTATTAGTTAAAATGGCACTTCCTGTGTTGTCTATCCCTTGTTTGTTGCATGCTCTGGTGACATTTCTCTGTAGACCAATACCATTCAGCAGTGAGTCTAACGCCACACTTTTAGTGCTGAGCTGTTGTATCAGGAACTCTTACGAAAAAGGTTGCCAAAAAAGTGGTACTGTTCACTATTTTCATAGCTTTGACAGTGGAAATGAAAATAATTCTTCATCATATCATATCGAACTGAACTGAACTGTACTTCTCAGTGAAAATGAGCCATTATTCTCTGACTACTAACCTCACAGAAAACATCAAAAGATCAGAAACAGGGTATATGCAGGGTCTTAAAAAGTATTAAAAGTTGATAAATCAATTAAGAGAAATTTAAGGCCCTTAAAAAGTATTAAAAAGACTAAAATGCTATTTTGCAAGGTATTAAATTTGACATCATTTTGATTATGCGATGTATGCTAAAGTTTGCCTAATTAAATCTGCGAATGTCAGGATGCTGTGTAGTTTATGAAATCAATTAAATCCTGCTATATTTAACATCATGCTGCTTTGTTTACTGCAGTAACCAAGGCAACACCATTATTTCTGCTACTTTATAGGCGCCAACCTGCTGAATTCGCTAGATTTAATTGGTTTATTCAGTATATGAATAATGTTTTTGTTTTGGATTAGTTTCTTACATTAATATTTAATAAATATACTGTAAGTTAAAATTTTGCCAGTGTTTCCAGTTAAAAAGTGGTTATTATGTCTTGTATGGAAATAGTCTTAAAAAAGGTCTTAAAAGACATGGAATTTCACTCTCTGTTTCCTGTACATACTCTGAGTACACAAACAGCCATACACCCACCCATAGACTTTCCAATGAAAGCAATTAGAAAAGTGGTTAAAAGTGTATAGAAGAGAAGGATTAATGCACCACGTCCTCCTTGTTTACTAGTGATCCAAATTACCAGAATTTTTAAAACAAGGTAAAAAGGGAATAATCAAAAAGTGTAACCATCAGTTTTCATACAGCTAAAGTCAAGTACTTCAAACGTTTGTCAGTTATTACTAGGCCCACACAGAATCTGCACATGCAGAAGTCCGCAGATTTTTAGCCCATCATTTTGTCTATGTATTTACATGTGTAAATGTGTTTAAATTTATATTTATTCAGGTTTTAAAGTTCTTTCACTAAAAGTATTGTGATATAATAATAGTAATTTTAAAATGTTCATATTATTTATTTACAATGCCGTTTGTAATGTAATATGTTCTGCCTTTTAGTAGAGATATTACATGAGAGACTTGCTTTGTTTACCAAATAAGTGGATCTAATTGGATTTGCATTGTAAACCTTAAATAAATGTTAAAAAGGTATTATTTTTTATTCCATATATTACGTTTTTAGTTATGATACTCCCAAAATCATTCCCCATAAATCCGCAGATTTTTTACAAATTTCCCCACAGAAATAGCAAACATAAGCCCCTTTCACACAGTGATACCGGTAAATATCCGGAAAATTTCCGGAACGACTTTACCGGTATATTCAAAAAAGCGCTGTTCACACAGGCGAGGACGTTACGGAAATTTTCCGGAAAAGAGCATTCACACATCATTCCAAAATACCGGTAAATTCTGACATCATTCACCACAAATGAGCTTTAAACGGCTGCGCTTGTATTTGTAAACATTTGACTAAATTACAAACTCTGTGGATGATCAATATTGTGAACAACTTTCGCAGGATCACTTTCGCATGTCGAGATGTTCATAATATGTGCGTGTGCAGGTGCTCACAGGCTGTTTCAAAGGCACACGCAAAGCTAAAAGGTAAACAAACAACGGCTTATCATAAGCATCTCATCGATGATTATTTACACAGTTGGCATAAAGAAGAACATATAAACGTGATCTGACTAACTTCTAGCAGCTAAATGTGTCTGGAAAAATATTCAAAGGTTTTTATTCTCACAAACCGCGCAGACGTAAATGCGTCTGACTGTTGTGATTGGCTAAAGCAGACGTCTCACGTCAGCGCGTTCTAGACTTGCACGCGCTTATTATGGTAATCTTCCTTCTGCATTCACACAGCGCAGCATTCCGGCAAATTGCCGGTAATGTTACAACTTCTCTTTCCGGAAAATAGCCAGAACGAATTTACCGGTATTTTCGAAAAGGACCTGTTCACACATACAACCTTTCCGTAAAATTGCTGTATGTGTGAAAGGGGCTATTGTCTGCAGATTCTGTCTGGCACTAGTCATTACCCAGCAAAAATACGGTTGGACTTGTCACAATATATAGGTTGTCCTGCTGATTAACTTGTTATTGTAAAAATATAATTTTTGAGTATTGAAACAGTTAAGTAAGCTTGCCCTGTGCTATGGGTGCACATCTTCTTTCAGGGTACAGAAATCATCATTGTGTTTGTTTTTTATGTTTCAGGGCAACATGGTTGATAACATTGAGGTGAATGTGGGTAAAGCAGTCGATCACGTTGAAGCCGCAAGGGATGAAACCAAGAAAGCAGTCAGGTATCAGAGTAAAGCCCGGAAGGTACGAAGTTCACCTGATGCTCTGTCTGACATTAGTCTTTGTGGCTTCTGCTGTCTTTCTCTTCCTTTTTTCTTCCCCCGTTTCCTCTTTTCGCTTCTCTCTTCATTACCCAAAATCCAACAAAGGGTGGCATGATTGAAAGGATCGAGAACAACATGGACCAGTCAGTGGGTTTCGTGGAGCGAGCCGTTGCTGACACCAAGAAAGCAGCTAAATTTCAGCAGGAGGCTCGGCGTGTAAGTTCAAGATAAATATGAAGCCTCGTCCGTCTGTCCCACCCGTTCCCAAAGCCTCTCCTTACTGTGTCTGAACACACTGACGTCACACACAAACAAACAAAGTGATTATTACTAATCCTGATACGCCCTGAAACTTCCCATTACAGGATTTCAAAGAATCTCAGCAGGTAATTTCAAAACAAGCCACATATATTCCCCTTTCAGGACATATTAATAGCAAGAATAATGTTCAACAAACTTGACAATACACACAGATGCTCTGTGGTGTACTGTGTGGAAAAATTATGATGGTATCTAGTGCTAGTTACTTTAGTAAGAAGTTTAACTTGTATTGATACAGATATACAAAAAAACACATGATGTATAGTAGGGTAAACAGGAAAACCTGGAAATTTTCCAACACTAATATGAGTTGGATTTATTCATAGGCATGTGCTTATGCTTGCATGTTCAGGGGCCAGTTACAATGAGGACACACAAACATTTCATTATTATTAATAATAAATAGCTAAATAAATAAAACAAACGTAAAAATGCTTCCAGGGTAGAACATATTGTATATAGATCGGTGGATGTGGGATTTGCCAATTTATAAGAACAGCTTCAACTCCAAGGCAGTCCAAAATGTAGTATCAAAAAAGTCAATCTGGTACTCCTTATGAGTACTAGAGGTATAACAGATCACGGTTGATCTGTGATTAGTACGAATCACAACCCACAGGTTGGAACACACGTGACCCATGGATTAATAATTTTTTTTACTTGTAGATTAATCCTAAATTTGTAACGATCGCAGTCATCAAATCACATGTATGAAAGCATTTAAGCTTTCCTATAAAATATAATTATGACGGAAGAAGTTGTGGTCACTTATGTGGTAGGTTGCGGTAGATGGTGATTTGCATATGTTTATTAATCCTTCGAATCGCTGCATTCAAATCTGTGCTTGAAAAACGCAAAAATCAAGAAAGAGATTCAGTATTTAGTGTTTTGAGTTAGTTTTGAAGTTACCAACAGTCAAATAACAAAAAAGTACTGGGATAACAGTTCATAGTTTAGATAAAACCACTGATGTTTATGGTAAAGATCACAATCACTCTCATATGCATTTAACAACGCTCAAAAATGAAAGTTGTAGGCAGTAGTGATGTGCGAATCGATACTAAAATATTGATATCTCCTATACCAGCTTTGTATGTTCTAAAATCGATTAACTTATCAAAACATTGATATTTCAGTAAATTGGAGCAAATATGTAGTTTATTGGAAATAGAAATACAGTGGAAAGTAACCACAATTACCCTAGTTTATCTGAATAATGCCAACTTAGTCGGAACTACTTGTTCTTCCGCCTGCCAAGTCATATGCGTAATATGGCAATGTACAAATGCAGAGCACACTAGCTAGCCACTCAGTCCGCTGGCACATGTTGTTCAGTCACGCTGTCGTTGGATGGGTGTCTGCAAGTGAAGTTATGTGTGGAGCTACTTCACTTCCATAAACTCAAACGATGCGATATGTGACACGTCTAACAAAACAGTGAGATACTGTGGTAATACCACAAATCTAATCAAACATCTACATATAAATCACAAGATAGAATATGACAATGTCATCACTGGGCGGTCAGAAATGGAGGAAAGGAGAGGCACAGGTGCTGCTAGGGCGAAACAGACATCGCTTTTAGAGTCCCCAGGTGCAGTAGGCAGGCACTATCCTGGTACAGAGGGAGAAAATGTGGTGATGTGGCTGTATTTTGGTGGCTTGGGTTTTTGTGACAGTGATAAAACAATGGCAGTTCCCTGAATTCTTAAAACAAATTTTTTAGAACTTTGGTTATGAAATAAGTAATAAAATATGAAATGACCAAAATGTCTGCAATAGTTCAGCTTGGAGTAAAATGTGTACTCTACTTGTTACATACTTTAATTTCCCTCTACTTGGTATTGGATCGGATAGGAAATCAGTAGTATCTCACATTACTAGTTGGCAGCAATTACATTGTTTAACCAATAGTTGGTGACAAGCAACCATCAAAAATATGCCACTGAATAATTCTTCAAAAATGATCCATCTAGCAATGAAACATGAAGTTGTAAGAGTGAATAACTGACGCATTTATTAAAAATGAGACTCAAATAAATATGGGTTGTACAAATGATAATGTTAGATTTCTACATTTAGCGTTATTAGCATCAGTAATAGTAACAGGGAATTTTTCACAGTGCTGAATATTTTACAATTTATTTTTATGCAGATGATTATTTCTTCATTTTGATTTTTTTTTAAATATGTAATGGAAAGCTAGTTACATTTGTCTCCTCCCTTTTTTGGCTGATCCTAAAAATAGTCCGATTTGTGACAAAAAAAAAACATACTGTGATCCGAACTGTGAGATTTGTGATCCGTTACATCACTATTGAGCACCACACGAGAGCATATATTGCTATTTAAACCAACAGCAATTGCTTAATTCACAGTTATTTATTGTGAAAGCCTCATCTGTGTACATTTGTGCATAATAATCTAAAATCTTGCTTTGGTTTTGAAGCTATTGAGAATGAGTTTAAATTGGCATGACAGAAGTTTTATGTACTTTCCCTTATGTATTTTAAGGGATACTCCTTTAGAGAAAATTCTCATCATTTGTTCCTTTTCCTTCGGCTTAGTCTCTGATTTATCAGAGGTCGCCACAGAGAAAAGAACTGCCAACTATTCTGGCATATGTTTTACGCAGCGGATGCCCTTTCAGCCGCAACCCAACACTGGGAAATATTCATCTTTTACTCATTATTACAGCCTCGAGTTGTTGCAACCCTGTAGAGTGCCCAAAAAAGCTTATGAATACGTAAATTATTCAAAGCAGTGCAAAGTATTTTCTTTCTTTCCTTCTTTCTTGCTTTCCTTCTTTCTTTCTGTGCTTGCATGTAATGAATGTCATTGAAGATTTTCCATCCAGAGATTGTTTTTTGGTCCAGATTTGTGTCTGTATTAATTGTTTGTTACTTAAATAGCTAAAGTAGATGCTATAACAGTGTGTTATCTGTGTGTTTCTTCACAGAAAATTATTATTATAGTGTCTGTGGTTTTGGTGATTTTGGCCATTATTGCGTTGATAGTGGGTTTATCTGTAGGTCTGAAAAGATGATACCGGTGAGTACATTTTAGAGGAACGAGTCTAACATCTGGGAAATGGGTCTGGTGTTAGTGTATTATCCAGACTTGGAGCTCTGGATATTAGTTGGTCTTCTCTAGTCTTCCGCTCAGATGTTTAAGATGTTGGGCTTTGGGGTCTCTTTGGGATACTACCAACTTAATTCTGTTGGGGGTTTTTGTATTGATGTTAACTTTTCTGTGGCTACGTACACCATGTGATGTTTCACGTGTGACAACCGCATTTAAAAATATGAATTAACTACCTAACTGATTATTTTAGTTGTGTACAGAAAAAGGCTTGATGCTAAAATTGCTATGATTGTTACAGTTTTTTTTTTTTTTTTTTTGCTTTATCAACAAAAACCAGCATGTACCACTTTTTATACAACAAAATCCATTTAAATTCCCTAACAAAAAGGATTAATTAAGAAAAGAAGAAATTAAATAATAATAAAAAGAAAACGGAGCAGAGGGCACATGATTATCAGTTTACACATAAATATATTACACACATTTTTCCAATTTTAGTTATTAACAAGAGTTATTAAATGCACTTTTACGACAGGAAAGGCATATATACAAACACCTTTATGCAAATTTGTTAAAAGAGGACCATATATTAACTGTTTTAGTAATTGTTACAGGGTTACAACAGCTATATACTGGCATTTGAGCATTTAATATTATTCTTTTTATTATTAAAGTAATATTACAATGACCAAAAATTTATAGTTAGTATTTTACTATATCATTGAGGAGCAGTGTTTTATGTTGAAATGGCTTTTCCACTGAAGGCAGTCTTAAAGGGAAAGCTCACCCCAAAATTCAAATGTGCTCACCATTTACTCTTCCTCAAGTGGTTCCAAACCATTATGAGTTTCTTCTGTTAAACACTAAAAAAAGAAAAGATATTTTGAAGAAAGCTGAAAGCCTGTAACTCAGGAGTGTCCATACTCTGTCCTGGAGGGCCGGTGTCCTGCATATTTTGAGTCCAACCCCTATTAAACACACCTGAACTAGCTAATCAAGCTCTTTCTAGGTATACTAGAAACTTCCAGGATGGTGCGTTGAAGGAGTTAAACTGTGCAGGACACTGGCCAATGTTTGGACACCCCTGCTGTAACCATTGACTTCCATGGTAGGAAAAATACTATGGAAGTCTGAATTGTTACAGGTTTTCAGCCGTCTTTAAAATATCTTCCTTTGTGTTCAATAGAAAAAAAGCAACTGAAACTGGTTTTAAACAACTGAAGTGCGAATTCAGTTCTGGGTGAACAATCCCTTTAAAGTGTTGCCATAAAATGTAAATCAGATTACAGTTACACTTTTTGGATTATGTGACTGATTACATATTATTACACAATGGCAGTAAATAAAAATCATTCTCTCTTTTTTTCTTTTTCTTTTTTTACATTTTGCTTACCAGACGTCTGATTGTATCATATAATGTACAGTAGCTTAGGATTTATTTGCAATTTAGATTGGCAATGTAAATCCCATGTAAATTTATTTTGGCTCCATGCTTTAGAATTTATTTAAGGGGTGAGAAAACACCTTGAAACTAATGAAAATAAAACCAATATGAAACAAATAATTACATATAAACACATAATAGGGCATTACTGAACATTGTTGATAAACAGATATGAAGCTCCAAGGTCTTAATAATATCCATTAACATTCAAGTAACTATTGATTCCTGGTACTCTGACTAAAATATCTCAAATATGGAAATCTTGATGCATGCATTGTCATTGCTGTTTGTTACATCAGGAATACACAAATGTTTTTTTTCCTCAGCCCCTTGTCTTTAATGGTAAGTTTTAAAAACGATTACATAAAAAGTAATCCAAAATAGTGTTTTTTAAAATTTGAATAACCGACAGCAGTCAACATTTGAAGTGGATCAAAAAAGACAAGGCAAAGACAAGACTGGGTGTTGTTCAATAGTTTTAGGACTACTTTAGGAAGAAATGTTCAAATGTCGGATACTATAGACTACATTACGAAATACAGTTTGTAATCTGTCACCAGTGATGGAATACAATTTGTGAATACTCCAATGCACTGGCCTAAACTTACCTTCTTACCTCTTCCTCACACTTCGTATGTGCCTATAAATGTCATTAGGAATTATTTGACCAGTTTGGCTATAATACGCACTTCATCTGATGTTTGTCTTTTCATTGTTGAGTCCATTTAAGTGTTGAATGCGGTTGTCACAGTGTACGTGGCCTGTGTGTTATGGTTCAGCTGGGCTCTGCTGGTGAAGGATTTAAGTCTTCAGATGTTTGCTGTTGGATTAACGGATCCCGTTTTGTTTGGTTTTCTTGTAGAAGATGATCATAGTGGGTGTGGTTGTTGCTGTGGTGCTCGTCATCATCCTCATCATCATCCTCACACAGGTCTTATGATAACCTCTCCCTCAGCGGCTCACCATTATTACAGCTTATCACCTTCACTTTTCATCCTCCCTGTTTGTCCTTGGAGTTATGAATGGAAATGTCCGCCCCTTCACATATGGACTCTCTCTTCATCAGAACAGACCAATGGGAAACGAGTTTCTCTTCTCTCCTTTACATCCTCCATTTTACCTTAATGTTTTAAATGCCCCGCCCACTCCACATATGGCTCCTCCTCTCTTCAGCACAGACCAATGGGAAACGAGTTCCTCTCCTTTTCATCCTCCCTGTTTTACCTCAGGGTTTTAAATGCAAATGCCCCGCCCACTTCACATGTGGCTCCTCCCCTCATCAGCACAGACCAATGGGAAACAAGTCTGCTGGAACTCTAGTGATGGTCAAGAAAGTAGATTTTTAATATGTAATGACTGATGGGATCTGTTTAAGGAACCTCTACTACACGACAAGAATGCCTCTTGAAGGAAGATTATTTTAATGGACAAATCACAGAGCAAAGAATAAGGGATTTTATACGACTTGCATAGAAAGGCATCTTCCATTTCAAGCCTAAATGTTTGTTGATGTATAGTGTGTTCATCAATAGCTGTATTTAGTGAAATGTTCATGATCAAAAGGGCTCAGAGATGATTTTAGCTTCTGTTCTGGGACCTTGTGAAATGAACTTAAGCTAAACATTGATTGGTCATCCAGAGTGGAAGAAACACACATGTGTAGCGATTTTTTTAATAACGTAAAAGTTATGTATGGGAGATAAAAACAGATTTAAACAAATGAATAAATAACATTTTATATTTTCTAAATATGTGATATGGGTTCATGGAGATTATTGTCCGAAAAAAAAAAATGTTGTTTTGCATGTTGATGTCATTTTTTAAATGATCCACTAAGATAACTAATTTGAAACTTTAGTTGATGTGTAATGTAGATGTGTGAACATAAACAACATCTCTGAATGCAACATGCTCAAAGTTCAATGCTAAGGGAGACATTGGCTTTTACAGAGTTAGCTTAGTAAAGCCTACAGTGAATGAAGTTTGTGGACAACAAAAATCTACATCAGGGTTAGTGAGATCATAAACGCTTTAGGTTATGTGCATGTATCTGCGAAGGGGTGTGGCTATAGGAGCAGTAGTGCTGTAATGTAGCAGTGAAAGCCAAACGCTGCTATTTCCACAGAGCTTGTTCTGTTTCTGTATTTAGGCTTCCAAAAGACACAACACAAAGAGACAAGTGCTTACAGTTTAATTTTAATTATGTTCCAGAGAATTATAAAAAATATATAGCTATCATTTGACAAAGGAGAGCTTCCAGAATCTCTCCCAGTTCAGTGCTGAATTTGGCTAAAAACTCCTTCAACCGATGAAGCTGTGGATTGTGAGGCACAACCTGTAAGTATTTTTATTTGTTAAAATTGATCTATTACATGCACAGTTTCCAGTGTTAATGGTCTGTTTTTTGCGATGATGTAAACAGCAGGAAATGCTGTTTGGCACTGTTAACAATTTAGCTACAAATTCATATTTATTTGTCAAACCGCTGTAAACACCAGAAATCTTCGGCAGTGCTGCAGTGTTTCTCTCTCTATGTGGGGCTTTTATGGAGCTAATAATATGCCAAAAACAATCTGAATTTGAATTATATTCATTTGAATTATTGACAATTGTAATTTAATAAATCAGATTTTTTTATATGCTGTTAAAAATGTATTTGAATTTGAATTTCCTATTTTAATTTTAATTTAAATTTAGGGCGAAGCAGTGGTGCAGTAGGTAGTGCTGTCGCCTCACAGCAAGAAGGTCGCTGGTTCGAGACTCAGCTCAGTTGGCGTTTCTGTGTGGAGTTTGCAAGTTCTCCCTGTGTTCGTGTGGGCTTCCTTCGGGTGCTACGGTTTCCCCCACAGTCCAAAGACATGTGGTACAGGTGAATTGGGTAGGCTAAATTGTCCATAGTGTATGAGTGTGTGTGAATGTGTATGTGGATGTTTCACAGAGATGGGTTGCGCCTGGAAGGGTGTCCGCTGCGTAAAAACTTGCTGGATAAGTTGGCGGTTCATTCCGCTGTGGCGACCCCGGATTAATAAAGGGGTTAAGCCGACAAGAAAATGAATGAATGAATGAATGAATTAATAAATAATTTTAATTTCCTAATTTGAAATTGAATTTCATAACTTGAAAATTGAACATCTAAAATTTAAGACAACTGAATTTTTCAAGGCTGAAGTTTTAAAAATGTATTTTAAACTTCAGAGTTTTTGTGTTCTGAATTAATAGACTGCAGATAATTCACAATCTGAATTTCTGCTTTTGAATTTTAGGATATTGAATTTGAGGTTCTGAATTTCTTCATGTTGAAAATTTGTAACTGTGTTTTTACAAACTGAATATCTGCAATCTATGAATTCAGAACACAAAAAAATCTGAAGTTTAAAAATACATCTATAAAATTCAGCCTTGAAATATTTGGTTTTTCTTACATTTCAGATGTTCAGTATTCGAGGTATGAAATTCAAATTAGGAAATTCAAATTCAAAACAACGGCAAATAAAAATTCATATTTATTAAACTACAATTGTCAATATTCCAATTAACACAATTCAAAATTCAGATAGTCGTCAACACTTGTACAAGGGCGTGTCCTAGCAGCATCAGCCAATGAAATTAGTCTGAAATTGACTACTGCCTGAGCTGGTGTATTTGCCTAAAGCTAGTGTATCTGATTGGCTAATGCATCTGTTGGCACTTGAAAAGAGAAATTTCCAACTTCTGCAGCGAGCAACGCCACTGAAGCGGTGCAGATGGATCCACAATGCAGTTCAGCAACACCTGACGTCACCCATTCAAAGTAAAGCGGAAGCATTGACGCTAACACCCTGTATGAATGGGCGTCAGTGCATTCTACATTTCAAATAACAAACTCACAAGAGATATGTGAACGTTTCATATTACTCACACATGCTTATAATCTGAATATATATAAAAAAAGACTTTTTTTTCAGGTTTTATTTTAGAGAGCAGACTCAGGTTCAGCTGTGTCATTTTCTGTCTGGTTTAGGCACAACCTGACTACCCCTTTAAGTGTACTTTAATTCTTTTAAAAAACTTTTCAGTAGTGTATTTGTTAAACTATTATCCTCATATACCGTAGATAGATGGATTGATGAATAGATTTTTATTTAGGATTATTAAATGTTCAGAAGTACATTTTAGTTTCAACAAAAACTAAATTTACGAGATGTATAATATACACTTTTTATAGTTTCATACGTTAAAATTATAAAGTGTTTAAAGTTATAGTTAAACCATTCTATAATGAGTGACAGAGGCAGTTTAAAAAACTTTGTATCTTCAGCTGTCTCAAGACATTATTTTAGTCTGAGCTGAGGCGATTTTAGCAGGTTAGTGTTCCCGTAACTCTTTCCGCAAAAAATAGGAGAATCATGCGATTAGGAAGCACTAACAGTATAACTTCTTCTTTGGTTAGTATTATATGTCAATGACACACATGTTGACAGACTGTATAAAGTGAACTCTTGTTGATATGCTGTACCTCTAATGGTAAGTGACTATTTGCAGACACACAAACACACACACACACACACACACAAACACACACCGGTCTTAAAGTGATAGTTCACCCAAAACAGAGAATATGTTGTTGATTTACTCACCATGAAGCCATTCCAGGATGTTGGTGAGCTCCTCAATCTCCTGGCAATACATTGAAATCTGCTGAAGCCAAACAAATGAGAAATAATACTATGTTTAGTATTATTACATTATGATGTACTTCCAGCAGAAACGGATTATTACCTTTCAGTTGATTAACCTGGACTGATCAATTGTTCACCTAAAAAATAAATAGCAATGTGCACTAACAGAATGAACATTGACAGCTTTGCTTTCAGACTGACTTTTGACATTAGCATGCTGTCCTGAATACTTTCACCTCAGGTGGATCGCTTCATTTTGGATGAACTATCCCTATAAATCTGAACTTCTCCTTTGTTTTATTCCTTTCTCCTTTTTCCAGTTTAAAATGACTTTCAGATGTGCTGAGAGAAGTGTTGTATAGGGGTTTATGAATGTATTTCTCTATCCTGTGTGCTATTTCTAACTTTCTCTTGTATTTGTTTTTGCCTCCTTATAAATATCCATCGTTCTCTCTGTAGAAGAAAATGATGATCATGCTTTGCTGTGCGATTCTGGGGATTGTTGTGTTTTCTTACCTTTACAGCTTCTTTTCATAATGGTAAGCATTTAGTTTAAACGGTACCCCCCCCCTCCCCTACAATTTTTGGCAATAGTTATGCTTTTAATTAAACTTTCAAAATATGAAGAAGATATTCCCTTGAGAAGATGAAAATACTAAACTGACATAAATAGCTGACATCAAACTATTTGGCCAAACATAAAAAGCAAGCTACACTACCTGACTAAAAGTCTTGTTGCCCATCCAAATTTTAGGAACAACAAATACTAACCTTACTAAAATTAAAGAAATAAAAGGCAACTAAAATTAAAGTACAATCATACATACAAATAAGTAGACCTAAATAAATGAAGCAGCGTTTTAGCCTAAATATGAGAGATGTACAGCGTTTTTTATTTTTAAGCGATAGGCCTAAAACTGTCAATAAATAAGCTTTTTCATTTATGTTTTATTTGTTGATTATGTTTTACTATCTCATTTTATGTCTTAATTATTGTACATAAATAATTAATAAATATTTAAATAGGCCTAAATAATTATTTATCTAAAGGCATAACTAGCGAAACAAAGAGAAACGGTCTGACGCATCGTCTAAGCAGCTCTTAAGTTGAATGCTATATCAAAAGCATAAAAATAAATTGACCTACATCAAGCACATCACTAAAATAATAATGACAATAATCTTGCCGCAGGAGGTAGATTAGGTCCCACAAGTTTTTTTTTTAAAGATTTGTTTCAGTTCAGGTCAGTTTCAAAATGTCAATGTTCTCCTGTACATAATATTAACTCTTAGGTAAACAGATGAAAATGAAACCATTTATGGTAAAAACGGTAATATTGTGAACTAAATAACCCATCTATTAAATGACCACATGTATAATATAACTAATATAACTACCATTTATGTGACAGCAAAAATATTATATAGCCTAATAGTTTTCTGTCACGTGAATTTAGGATTTTTTTTAGAAATCAGTCACAGTCGATGATTTACTGCTCCAGAAACAGATGCCGCTTATCATTTATTTATTTTTATTTTTTTATGTATTTATTTATTTATTTTTGTAGAAACTATGATTCACTTTTTTCCAGGGTTATTTGAAGAATGGAAACCAAAATCTGTACTGTCACACAACACGTATTTTAAATCGCTGTTGCTCAAATTATCACTACAATCTTCCAGGCTGAAGTGACCACAAGGACTCCTGCCCGTCCTCTCACATCCGTGTTTTGAAGAGATGCGTTTACTGTGTAGTGTGCTTCAACCAAACGAACCCTCACACCCTATCGAGTGACTGAAACCAGCGCCCTCTGCTGTTCAACAACTTCATTAAACAAGGACAATTCCTTTCAAAAGGAGCCCGGAGAGAGACAGACATGTCAATTTTTTTCGATGTTTGTTCTAGTTAATTTTGGTAGTTAGTAGATGTAATTTCGTCTCATAGTCTAATATGTTTGGTTGTATGTTTTAATGTTGAAACGAGTGTTTTTAACAGTAGTATATACACTTAGCCTATTTTGAATACGTCAATATGGTATGGTTGTCTTTAATGTGTTATGTTATCTAATAAAACGAGACCACAAGAAAAAAGG